GTGTGTAAGTGTGTTAGAACTTGCAGCCAGTGAGGGAGGGGAGCCCAACAGCGATGAGTAAAGAAAGAAAAAGGTGTCAAGATGCACAAAAGGGGCAAAAGAATGGTTAAGAGGGGCAAAAGTGGGAATATTAGAGAGACAGATGAAGACAAATTTTAAAGACAAATTTTGGGGGCAGCAAAATGTGTCTTTGACTTTGTAGACAGAAGTCCTTGCACCGACTCTGGTGTCAAGTGCACTTTACTTTTTCTGTGAAAATTCTAGTAGCTGTCGCTTAATAATTTTTTTCTACCTCTTGATTGGAGATCCAACCCATAAAATCGGGCCCACCATAGGACACTAAGCTACTTATTTGCAGCACAAAAAAATCACTAATGAAAACAAACATGTTTGGGCTCTTGTAAGTCAGTTCTCCCAAGATATTGCCATGTGGCTGCATGGAAACAGGAAACTCCTCCAATCACTCGATCAGCCCAACTGTGAACCAATTCCAGTTGTCTAGCTGTGAGAGGGGCACATTAACACATCAAATAATCTGGCTAGAAAAAGTCATAATTGGAGAGATTTTTCAGAAAATTAGTCATTATTTGTAAAGCACAGCCGAAGCAGTGACTTTGTAATGCCATTTATTTTAGACCCTAAAATAACTCCCTATCAGTGATAAATAATTTGGGATAATAAAATATACTCTAACCTATGTTTATATTCACACACCACAGTGCATAAAACATATGAAGAACTGGTAATTTTCTATTTGAGCTCTGGGCGAAAAGCTCACAAAATAAATGACCCTAAAATGTAAGACTGAATAAATTACTATAATTATATACTACCACATTCTGCTTACATAAAAGATTAATGGTAAACAGCCTTCTTATAAAATTGGTAGCTGTATTTAATTATTTAGAACACATTGCCAGATAAATACTTTGGAATCTATTTACTAGCATTTGAGTTACACTAATTTTGAAACCGGTTTGCACAATGTAAGGTGGAATAACTAACGTTAAAGGGAAATTTGTGATGTGCTGGAAGCAAGTGGATTGATACATCTCCTGCTTCAACTGAATTACATGATAAACTGTTAGCCAGCTGCAAAATGTTCCTGATTTCAATTATAAGTACAGAACATTGGCTACATTTAGCTTCATCTTGTAGAATTATGTAACTAAATTAATGACCAAGAAGGTCACGAACAACTAACTAGTATTAAAGAAATTACAATACAATTGTTTGTGTTTAGTTGAGTTGGTAAGTAGCATGTTTATTAACTCTACTCAGAGGATCAGTAGAACGTTTACATTTAGGTATTTGGAAGAAATGTGACACATTTATTAATAATTTCACAATGGAGATGTTCAAATATGTCAATTATCTATTCATTTTTTGTCTCTCCTGCAAATTTGGTTATTGAAATATTAAACAATGACCAAAGGCCATAGTGTTATGGAGAATATAGTCACTTCTGAAGTCTGGAGGAATCTTAAAACATACACTTTTATAAGATAATATAGTTTTTTTAATGGAGGATATAAAACAGGATATTAGCAGACACATAAAAATAATTGCACTCTTTTTCTACAGCTAGATTTTACTGCTTTCATAGCCCTTACTGCATTAACTGCATTGCTAATATGTATTAACAAATACATTCTTACATGTTATATTTCCATACATTACAGTAAAAGCACATCCTTAAACTATACATCAATCATGGTAGATGCCATTGTAAAATTTCCTAGCTATTTTGATTTCCATGTATTTCCCTGAGCAACACATACAATGTTTTATTCAAAAAGGAAAGGCAGAGGTACTCTGCAAGCCATTCAAAATGCAAGTGTCATGGAGTTTGTTTCATTTTTTTTTTTTTTTTTTTACTAGAATAGTCAATACTTTTTATTCCAATGAGCCCTTTCATGGCCCTTGATGAGCAGACAAGAGAATCAAATAAAATAAAATTCTCTTAAATAAAAAGCATCTGCTATGAATGGGTTCAAACAAATAGTAAAATATCCAGACCATACCTTGACAGATCCATGTTAACCTCTTCAAAGGAAACTTTATATATTTTTACCATATCATTAATTGTTTATTTATACTTAATGCAATTTTCTTTTCCTGGTCATGGGCCATGGCAACACAACAATGGGTAGCTCCTCCTATACCTAATTAGACAGGAACTTTTAATTAAAAGATTGGTATAAAAGTCCCCTCGCAAGCCCTTAGTCTTGTTACCAGCAATGATGCATTTGGGATCTTTGTGCACTATTACCAGAAAAATAAAATTATGGTAAGTATTAATACATTTTCTCTTTTCCTGGCCATATCTATGGCAGCACAACAATGGGTAATACCCAATCAATAACCAAGGGAGAGAAAGAAAACACAGACACTAGATGAAATCCAATGCAAAAGTGTATTATCACAAAAACCAAAAAATGTGAAAAAACACACAATAATGTAATTTAATTGACAGATGCTGCAAGAAAACTTTTCCCAAATTGATCAAACTGTCCTGCTTTGACATCCAATTGATTGGTTGGCTGCTCAAGTGGAGGAGAGAGACCTAGTGTAATGGGCTTTAAGTCCTTCTGGCAGTGGCACTCCGAAAGCCTGGTATACCGTGACAATAGCCAAAACAATCCATCTGCTAATAGGTGCCTCAGAGGGAATAGTACTTTACTTTGCTCCATTAGGAAGAGCAAAAGTCTCTGAGAGGAACACCAGAGACCAGTTCTATTTACATAAATCTTAAGACATCTTACTAAGTCTGTTGGAGAAGGAACTGAAACTTCATCATTAGATAGAGTTTCTGAATGAAGGGAAAGTAAAGGGAAAGAAGAAAGTAAACATGCATTCTTCTGTAAGTATGTTACAAGAACCTCCACCATTACCTGCCATATTGTTACCCCTTGTGTCACTGCAATAAGTTGGTACTCCTCAGGTCACAGCAAGTTACAATCCCTTCCACTAAAGGGGTTTCTTCAGACGGCCGTGTACTGAAGACTTCCAAAGGGGGAGAGGCTGAATTCGCTTGAGGCCGAGAGTAACTATCCACAGGTAAGCCAAAAAGAAAATCTCTGTCCGGAGATAGTCTGTCCGGAAAGTATACATCCATGTAATATGAAAAATACAAGAAAGATACAAGAAACATTATACATAGGACAATGCCACCTCAGTCCCCTTCAAAGTAGGAACCCTGGGACCTCACGCAGTTCTCTTCCACTGTTCAAAACACTCTGGCATCAGCTGCCTCGTTGTATTTCCCCAAATCTCATTAACAGTCTGAAATCTCTTTCCTTTCAATTGTGATTTTAGTTTTAGTGTTTGTGCGACACTTTTACTTTCTGCACTCACTGCATCATCCCCGAAAGCCTTCTAAATCATTAGAAGAGTTTCTGTGGAGGATTGTTCACACGTAACGCATAATTGGATGCAGATTTGTTTCTCTACTCGCTCAGCCATTTTGAATGCGTGGCCACACAGTAAACATGCTAATTTAAAATCATCTAGCTCCCCCACTGACTATTACACTGAAATCGCCACGGTTCATGCATGAGCATTCCAGTCCACTCTCCTTGGCTATATATATATATATTATTGTGGTCAAGACAATGACAGCCATAAGTATAATTGATACCTTCTCATACCAGCAGGAGTATGACTAATTAGGTTGAAGTGTGCCGAAACCGACGTATTGGTAGACCTGTAAATAAAGTGAGCCCACCAAGGAAGGTAGATTAAGTGAAATAATAATTTTCAAAACAGAACGAAAGCCTAGGAGGAGTATAGGGCTGAGGGTGAGTATTTATATCAGCACTGGCCCCTCCTACAACTCCAGGCCCAGCCTTTACATTTGTGGTCAGGACAATAACAGCCATCAGTATAATTGATACCTTCTCATACCAGTAGGAGTATGACTAATTAGGTTGAGGTGTGCCGAAACCGACGTATCGGTAGACCTGTAAATAAAGTGGGCAAAAGATGTATGCCAAAAGATTTATTCCATCAACAATAACTTAATTCAACATAACATCATAATGTCAAATGTCTGAAAGCTTGTCTGATTTCTCTCTCTGGTTGTGGTATCTACTGGGACTTCCAGTGCCCCAGAGACTTGATAATATGAATGGGTATGTTCCTGTGTGAGGCTGCTGAAGCTGCTCCTATACGGAAAGAATGCCCTGAGTAGTGTGAGGGGTTAAGGCCTAGCCTCATCAACAAGATTCTAATATATAGCATGAATTTGCAAGTCGTGAGGATGGTGCCTTGTAAGGAGAGTAATGGGAGATTTGTAGGTGCTTGTAAATTAGACAGATAGGTGTCGAAAGTCTTAACGGGACACCATTTATTAAAGGTGGGATAATAAGGTATTGTGACGGTTGAGTAGGTTTTGTATGTAACAGTGAGAGGAGGAAATGGTCTTCCTGTTTAATTAGCTTAATTAGCTGCCCAACAATAAGACAGGACCTAGCGTCGGTAGTAAGGATTGTGGTAAGTTCTCTGGGCCTAAGGAACCTGTAAAAAGCTAAATATATAGCTACTTTTAAAGGCTGATTTGTTTTGGGTTCGAAAGAAGAGTTATCCAATAGGTCTGATAGTGATCTAAACACATTCCCCATAATAGGCAGTCTTTGTAGTGCCGGTGTGGTACTGCTCCTCTGAATTCCTTTTAATAATGTCTTAATTTGGTAGGAGGAGAGGAAGGTCTGTCTGTTTGGAAATAAGGTTAACATGTGGTGTTGTAAGCCCGTGAGGTAGAGTTTTATTGTATTATAAGACAGATGTAAATTCAAGTGGCAAAAAGAGGCAAACGCTACCAAAGTTTCCAGAGCGAATACGTCTGCCACCTGGAAGTCCCTTGTGAATTTTACAAAAACATTAAGAGCTCTTTTGTATATACACCTGGAGTTTTCGGACAGAGCTCGCTGTGATAGTAATCTGCCATGCTCAAGGAGTTGACTCAATCCAATATGAGGTCTTGAAACTGGGGGGCCGGAGTTGCTATCAAGGAGGCATTGGGATGGAGTAATTCCTGAAACCGAAATCGGGACAAATGGTCAGCTGCTACGTTCTGAATACCCGGTACGTGTGTGCAATACAAAAAGAACTGATGAGTTGCCGCGAGCCAAGTTAATCTTCTCATGAAACTCATAATGACTAGAGAGGGGGACCGGCCTTTGTTAATAATGTAGCATGTTGCTTGGTTATCTGAGTAACAATGGACCGTGTGTCCTTCCCAGGAGTGTCCCCAAGTTGCTGCTGCAGCCACGATAGGGTATATTTATAGCAATGCTGACATATGACCAAAGGCCTCCAATGTTCTAAACTCAGGTGGCCAACTGCCCCATAACCATTGGTCACCACAGATTGCTGTGAAACCAGAAGAAGCTGCTGCATCCGACCACAGCAGGGCCGGATTAACATAGGGGCTGATGGAGCTGCAGCTCCAGGCCCAGGCCCAGGCCCATGGAATAGGCTCATTTAAAAACTAAAAATAAAAAATAATTTAAAAAAAAGTTATTTTTTTTTTTACACACTACTCTTAGGTTTGCCACCTGACTGATAGTTTAAGGCACAGTCAGTATTTAAGGGCTGCCTGGCCGTGACGGTATTGCAGTAATACCCTCAATACAAATGCAAATATTTTTCATAGTATAAATGGAGATTACTCTGCAATACCAGCACCGGCCAGAAGGGGTCACTGTGTATGGACAGAGGCAGGGATAGGATGTGGGGAAAGGCAGCAGGGAGACATGGGGACACTGAGGCACTAGGGGACACTGAGACACTAGGGGTCACATGGGGACACTGAGACACTAGGGGACACTGGGAGAGGTGGGGACACTGAGACAGATGGGGACACTGATGTACTAGGGGACACTGTGAGACATAGGGAGACACATAGGGACATGGAGACACTAGGGATACAGTGTCTCGATGTCTCCCAGTGTCCCCATGTCTCCCAGCCAGTGTCCCATGTCTCCCAGTGTCCCCTAGTCTGCCAGTGTCTGTGTCCCCATGTCTCTCAGTGTCCCCATGTCTCTGAGTGTCCCCAAATGTCTGTGTCCCCATGTCTGACACTGATGCCAGTCAGGCCTTCCAGTTCTTTGGTGGACAGACATGCTCCGTTTTTGGGCATGTTCGCCCCTTTTGGCAGTTCTGGTCACGTGATTCGCGTCAGTGGCCCACCCTTTTACCCCGCCCACCTGCTTCACTGGACACTGCTGTTAGGGAGGTATGGATTTACTTAAAAGATGAAAGCATAAATTAGAGATAGATTAGCATAGAGTATGTGTTTTCTTATAGCTGCATCCTTTGAGTTTCCCTCCAACACCAACTCCATAAGATACATGACGCTTGAGAGGTATGACTGTTTTAGTGTTTTTGGTCGATAAGATTCTGTAATTAGGCCCTATCATATTTGTCAGCACCAGGCCCACCGGGCTCTTAATCTGGCCCTGGGCCACAGTATTGGGGGGGGGACAGTGGAGGTATGAACATGGACTTCCCATTCCACTGGAATAAGAAATCCTGCCACATTCGTAAATCAGCTGTGGCATGGGTATCCAGAGAAACCATGCTTTACTCAAAAATACATAACTTGCACATTATTCGTGCTATTTAACCGAATTACATCTATATAGATAGAGCGCATACTTCGGGAAACTACAACTCAGATCCCAGCACAATTAGCCAAATGCCACACGAAACATACTTTAATATGAACTTATAAGAAAACACACGAATGAACAGTTTGAATGAAAGTACCGAAAGACCGGTGGTCCCGAACGGTCTGGAAGTCCAGAGGTGTTCGTGCCATCGAGTAGCCGATTTTAGTTCTAGGCACTTGACGACCAAACACTACGCTGATGAGGATTTGACCAAAGATGTCTTGAGAATTTCTGAAGAATATACCTGTGAATTAGAGACTTTAATTTGCCTGTTTTCCTGGTATTTGTTTTCTATTATTTATTTTATCTCTTCACTTTGTTCTTGGCGCACCCTGTACTTGTTGTTTTCTGTTTTTCCAGTCCTTTGAAGGGTTTTGAGGGTTAACCTTCCTTTCAGGTGTGCAGCCTCCCCCTCCCCGTTGTGATCCGTTTGGATAGCGCTGTTCCATCCCTCTTTTTTCTTTAATATCCCCTGATATCCCCGATCTGGGTGACCAACATATCCAAAAATCACCCAGATCGGTTCAGGGGTTCAGGAATTTCCTGGAAGTCACAATTTGACAGACCACATGCATGGTCCCATGCCCAAAACAATTTCAGAGAATAAGGGCTTGCATCCGGTCTAGTTCAGTAGTTTAAAAACCAAACAAACTACCGAACATATTCAATGTTCTTACCCTGGAGCTTGTTCACCTTGTTCGTGGGAACGTTCCCACCGAATAGTGCCGCTCTAAGTTGTGTAGAACCGAACACAGGTGATCCTGGAAGTCCAGCAATGTTCGGGAGTTTCAGTATCCGAAAATAGTTCAATGAACTTGACGACCAAACACAGCTGCCTACGTTCGCGGGAACAAGATGAGCGCCACCTCGTGGTCGTTCATGAGAACATCTGCCACCCAGGCGAACACTTAGAACACTGCGGTGGAAAGTGTTACAAACTGTCAATTAGACTTAACAAGCTCCCAGGTGGTTCATGGCTCGTGCTTTGGGAGACAGCCACTAGAAGCTGGATTAACCCTGCAGTGTAAATATAGCAGTTACTCCGAAACTTCTATGTTTTCAGCTGCAGGGTTAAAACTAGGGGGACCTGCCACCCAGACCACTTCATTGAGCTGAAGTGGTCTGGGTGCCTATAGTGGTCCTTTAAAGACTGTGAGAGGAGTTAGTAGGAAGAGGGGCATAAAGGAGACTGCTAGATAAATGTGTATCTGTAACTTTATAGGCAAAACAAGTTAGTATTTGTATACACATTATTAAAGAACATGTTGCATTGACTTATTTCATGTAAATAATTTTTTTATGAAACAAAACAATTCACTTCAAACTAAAATAATGTGAATACATTTTATGAATGTGTACAATCACTTAGAACCAGTGAAATAAAGGTTATAGAACAGTATCTGGAACAGAATAAGAATGAACTAAGACCTAAATACTTCTGAACTGACTTGTTTTATTTGTGGTTTTATTTAATTCTATAGTGATTGGTGGAAACAGCAGAGTTGCAGATTTAAGACAATAAAGTGACATCTCAAGGGTATCTGGATCACATTTGTTTAATTTATCAGCCATGTTAGGACAAGGTTAATAACTATTTCAATGGTGGTCTTAAAATAGAAAATATGTCCTTGTGATATACAAAATTTATAAAACACCAAAAATGTGTGTCTACAATTTACCATTTAAAACACAACACAATTAATTATTTAAATACACAATATTGTATTATAGTTTATTTAAATATATCAAAATATATTCTAGAGTAATGCTTTTTAAAATCAAAGCAATCTGACTATGACATGAAAGCTAAGGAACTCTGTGATGATATTATGTCATTCACATGTTTGAAACAGGAAGGCCTGATAGGATTACGCAGGTTTCACCATTAAGAATATTGGATTAGAAGGCAGGTTGAGTAAAAGTGTATTTGAATGCAATGTATATTAATTTAAAACTAAGCTTCTTCATAAATATAACACATGCAATTTAGAGAAGACCGTCATATTAAGTGACTTTTATGTACAACATACTTATGGAATTATGTGGGAAATACAGTATTTTTTGTGTATATGTCTAGTCACCTATTTATATTCAATGTGACAAAGAAAAGTTACCAACATACGAAATAATAGCAAGTGTATAATAGGGGAATATTAATAAGTGAATTGCCTTTTTACAAAACTAAGATTTAACTAGGCCCTGGGCCCAGAGGCTGTTACAGTGAGTCATGATATGGACAAGGTTCGGGTCTCAACCTCCCCTGCTCTGTAGGGTAAACTTTTAAGTTATCGATTTGGACGTGCCCAGCTGGCTAGAAGCCGGCTGGTGGTAAGCATTGAAAGGAAAGGGGAATTTTGGTGGATGAGGGGGCAGGTGAGAACGTTTGTGCATAGGTACATGGTCAATTTTATTGGCAAAGACATTAAATAAGTTAAATTCTGTAGGACCCTATTTGTTAATATTATATGTTCATTTATGGGTTATTTATGTATTTATATTTTGTTATTCTAATGAAATCGATAAAGTTTAATAAAATTATGGATGTGTTCTACAGTATTTATGTTATAATAAATGCTGCGGCCTGTTTCATCCAAATTCGGTGTCTGTCGTTATTGGGGGTATTTGGGGCAGGTTCTGGTATTCTTATCTCGCATCCAGTTCCCACTACGTACATACATGGCTCTGTACAGTGGGCCCTGTAAAGGACCTCACAGTTAGTCTGAGCATTATGGATTTAGGCAGCTGGATTATATCTTTTCCTGATAAAGGAAGACTACAGGTCCAATGTAAGACCAACAGAGGAGTAGCCAAACTTTACTACAACCAAGTAGTATTTATTAGAGAATTATACAAAAATATTTACATATAAGCAGCAATAGTTGTGTAAAATAGCCTATGGACAGGCCAACAATTGCATAAAATATAGGATCTATATGACCCCTATACCACAATTCTTCCCTTATGCCCCTACCTGCCTTACAGCACATGGAGGCATACTTACTAAACAGTGAGCAGCTATGGGCCTCAGGTGGGGGACTTTCAGTTAAATAATGGGATGTGTATATCATTGTCCACAACCCTATTACCCCCCAGTGGGTGAGATTGATTAAATATAGAAAAATGGAGAGGGCATCCTACTTATTATGTGGGGAAATCTAGTGAACTGCCTCATTTCCAGGGCTAATCCTAGGATCACTGATGCCTGGGTGCAAGAATATTTTTGTTGCCTCCTGAAGGGCATGGTTATATTGATAACTCCTCCCCTTCACAAACATAAAACTTCTAACCACACCCATTATCTATGGAAACCACCCCACCATGTTGGGCCCCACAACTTTACCAGTTAACATGTCAACATCTTACTACAGTGCAATTTTTGTGCCCAACTTCCCAGGAAAAAGCTAGAGAAAAGTCAGGTTCCTAATGAAATCCGACTCGTGCCATGCTGATGGCCATGGCTCAGGACACAATCATCCCTAAAAAAAATGTGCCAAAACCCAAGGAGCCCGATGGGTCTGTGAATAATTCTAGGGCCAAATTTGAAACTGCCTTCCGTTGCCAGAACGTCCGCCCATTATACCCCTCCAGGAACTTGCTCCAGACCC